GCTTCTTTAAGTTGAAGATGGAAACATACTGCAATTTTGTTCTATGATGCCAGTTGTTAACTTCTGAAGTTTTTATTAAAATATTTTTATTCTAAGAAGATTGCAGGTGATAAGAACATTGTTGTGAGGGAATGACGCGAAACACTGGGGACAAAGTTTAAAATAGTGCTGTGTTAATATTTTTATCAGAAATTAAATTTAAAATTGATTTTCTGAATTCTATATTTCAGTATTCTAAAATAAAAAACTCAAATTTGTAAATAAAAAAAAATAATTTCAGGAACAATTTTTTTTCTTTTTTTAAATCAGCAGTGGGGACAAGTGAGGGTACGAAGAGCGTAGTTAGTTTAAAGATGTTTTTAATTTTGATTAACGATAAATTCTGCTTGTGATGATCAGGAATCTATTTCTACTACTAAATCTACTAAATATCTACTAAAAAACTAATTCATAAATCATAGTAATGATGATATTAGAAATTTCAAATAAATATTTTTTTATTTTAAATCTTAAGTCTCGCATAAAAAAGTGAAGTATGTATTTCCGATTTAAAGATGAAATCTTACTCTCGCAATGATATTTGGAAAATAAAATTATTTTTTTGGTATAAATACTCAGCCAAGACTAAGATATGCATTAAGTTAATTTATGATAATAGCTCATAGATTAAAAATCTTGACATCTAAGTTAATCTTTCGGTAAAATATCACGCTGATTCAGCTAATTTTCTTTATAAATACTTCAAGAATGTAAAGATTTTAACTTACTTCAGTGTTTTAAAACTACGATGCTGACTTTTACGATTTTGTTTCTAGCGTTCTTCGGGAATATGCCAAGTGGTAATTTTGCATTGATGTTCTTTTAAAAAATAACTATCAAAACCTTTCTTTTTATTAACCAACAATTATATAAAAGATTAACGTTTAAATTTTATTTCGTTTTTTCCGAAGTTTTATTGTTAAAAACTAATTAATTTAAAACTAAAGAAAATAATTTTAACTAGTGGGCTGCGCTCCCTGCTCGCTAACGCTCGCCAACATCCGAAAATTGCTACGCAATCTTATAGTTTGCTTCGCAGACCAAGCTCGCTTCGCTCGCTACTAACTTAAGTACATTGCAAATGCACAAAATTCTAAGAATTCAAAACAATCATTCAAATCCATATAACAACTTTTTTTTTTTAAATAAATTACATCTTTTTAGTAAATACTAAATCATTAAAATAAATTTTAATTTAAATAAAAGACATGTAATTCGTTAAACTTATTAGAAATGTGCTATAGTATAAAATCTTAAGATAAAATTTCTAAAACTGATATCTCTTTAAAAAGGTTAAAATTTTGGCTATAATTAAGTCTATTAAAAATTTAAATAAGTGAATTGCAATGGAAAAACCTGCATAAACAAATAAATTCTAGTAAAACAAATAAATTCGTGATTTAAATCAAAAATCGTCAAATAAATTCGTAATATATAAATTCGTGAAAAAAAGCGCTTACGACAAAATACTAAAATAGAGATCTATCGACAAAGACTACTCACTTCTGTCTAACTTATGCTCTCTCTGGTTATTTCAGTCTCCGTTTTTAAAAGCGCTATATGCTGAGCCATCTCAGCTACATTTTGCATGTGACATTTTTAGCGGCAATCATTGGTCGATTTTCTGGAGTTGCTATTCGGGGAGTTGTAATGAGGCTTTTTTTTTGTCGCCGTGTAAGAGAAATATATATATATAGATTTATCTGGAAAAAATAGTTTATTTGCTTTCATTTTAGCAAATTACTCGAAAAGGTATTTGAAATTTTTTACCAGTTTTTTTTCCCACATAACTTCTCTCTTTTAATAATGTATCACACAGATTTTTTCAGGATGTTCCAATATTTGTTTGTTTTCTCCTTACAGATATTTGACTGTAGATAATGAAAAAAAAACCGTTAAACTTTTTTTTAATCACCAACAAAGCTCTAAATTTTAAAAGCTTCTCCAAATTGAAGGAAGCGCCATATATAATATAATTTTAAAAAATGAAAATGTTCTATCAAGTTTGCAAAAAATAATTTTAATTCCTTTTACGTCTGCTAGTGTCGTATTGAAGCATTTTAATGTTTTTATACTGAGTTTGTCGTGCATAACTGCTTATAAACATTTTTTCTTAGAAATATAAATCTTTTTTCTTTCCTTTTTTTTAAAAAAGAATATTTTTTTATTTTGTGGCTTGTTATTATTTATGTTATTTCCTTAATAAAATTAAATAAAAAATAAATAAATAAACTGCGCTCGTCATCAATTCTGTTTCAGAAAATTATCGTCGGTACCTCTTCTCACTCATAACGCAAAACATACTGGAAGAAAAAACAAGAGTTTTCCCATATTTTTAAAGCAATGTTAAGAGAGCATTTAGATTTAAAAATTTTATTGATGTGCAACAATGGCGTAAGAAGAAATCACCCTAAGTGGCCAAAACTGATCGGCGCACAAGAACACTAAAATTTTAAAAACTAATAGTTCTTTTATTGAATTAAATTTTTTTAATAGATAAATATTTGGTTCAAGCAAAATATTTTATCAAGAAAAAATAAACATGATTTTCAAACAAATTTAGTAATGAAGTTTTAAATCATCAAAATATAAATGTTCCTTTATTTGAAAAAATAGCAAATTAATTAATAATAAATAAATGGATTCATAAAAATTAATAATTTTATATTTTGTAGCAAACAACCTATTTTTTATCATATAATAATCATTGATAGTATTTACAGAAAAATGGGTAGTTGAAATAATTTATTTTTTAAACGCTTACTGTTTTTCTAATTTTTGTCCCCAAATAGTGTGTTTTAATTCTCCGTACAGGGTTTTTTATTCGAGGAGTTTGTCCTGAGCATCCTTACCCATTTTGAATGCTCCCCATTTCACTGCATGCCTTTGAAGTTTAAATTATCTCCCTACATTAAAAAAAAAATTTAAAAAATTTTAAAAAAACTAGATATAATTTGGGAGCTTTTAAGTTTTTCCGTTTCGCTTTTTCCTTCTTTGAAGTTAATAAAAATTTCCGCAATAAAAATATGCATTTTTCCAATCACGTATTTTAATATCAAAAGATCAGATAATATAGATCTTTTTTTTTAAAGTTTTGGATAAATTTGAGAAGTCTTAAACTAAAAAGTTCCTTTTTTGACTTTTCTCAATTAAATTCATTTATGCAATTCAAAAAAGTTATATTTTTTATTTTTTGACTTTCTGTTGATGATATTCATTAACTGAATGTTCTCAAGAATCACTGTTGTTGATAAATCATGAAGATATTCTTCAATTATGATGTTGGGTGCCGAGAATGAAAACAAACAAATACCAGACTTGCTTAGTCACTAGCTGCAAATCATCACACTTTTCTCACAAGTTTTTGATTTTAAAGCAGATTTAAAAACATATCAAGTGTTGTTAAAATACGTGACAAGGGAGAAAACTTGGTATAAATTAAATTAAAGAAGAAAAAGAGGAATGACATGTTGTTTCTATCTATACACATAATAAAATAATTTGTGTGTCTGTATAACAAGCTTCAAAACCGTAAGTTTTAATAATACGACATGAAGTACTAATGTAAATAAACTATGATTTTTTAATTATATATTAAAACAGAGACATTTAAAAAAAAAGGAAATTTCTGATTGATTTAGTGCAGAGGTTTCCAACTTACATGAGGCCGGGGGCCACAGTTAAAAACACAAATCAAATGGTGGGCCGCAGCTTTATCAAAATTTGATATAGGACTCTTTTAGGTTTGAAGGTAAATTAAATATTACTGTCTGATTTTTAACAAGTTGTGAAAACAAAAGTATTAAATTACAAATTAAAATAAAAAGTAGATTTTTAAAAATATTTAATTGCATATTGAAAAATTTGGGCTACAATAACTTTAATTTGCACCCATGTATTAAACAATTAATGTGCAACAGATATCTAATTGTTAAGATATAAAACTTTAAAAAGGTTGGTATTAAAACTTACATAGTAGCACACAAAATGTTCAATGACAAAATTGTTTGTCTGCTGCAACCACCAGAGAATATATATATATATATATATATATATATAAAATATACAAGGGTGTCTAAACCGATTAAATTAATCTTCTCCAAGATATTTTTCCAGTTTTATTTAGATAAACACCCCANTATATATATATATATATAATAAATACAAGAAAACATGAAGAAAGCTAAGAAAAACAATAAATAAAACATAAGTAAGAACGGCACTTTAAAACCCTCTATTTACACTCAATTTGCGCTTTTGTTTTCATAATTTGTAATCTGGCAATATTTCTGCGAAAACATTTTTAAATCATTCTTGAAACATTTCCCGTCCATCATGCCGTCATTCAGTCCCTGCCGTCCATGTAAGTAGATCTGATTTCGCTACTCGCTTTATAGTCCATTTTTTATACTGTTTTTTCTTTTATTTTATTTTCTGTTTTTACATGTTATTTTTGCTTCTTGTGTTCCTTTTTATTTGTCGTAATTTTTGTAAAAATAATTTTTTTGAGTGCTCCTCACACTATTGTATTAATATATTTTGCTTTGGCTTTATTGATACAATATCAGAAAGCACTCTGTTTTGCGGGTATAATCGTGTGGGCTGATGAAAAGATTATATCTTTTTTTTTCTCTTCCGGTTTTTTTAAATAAATTTTCATCTCTTTTTTTTTTTGAACTGTTGCTTGTTATTTTTTAACTTATTATTTCCCCCCCCCTTTTTTTTTTCATATGTCTATAATTTTTCTTTGTTTTTATATATATATATATATATATATTAAATTTAAACTTTACAAATGTGTATATAAATAAATTCGTCCAAAATGAGTGGTTTCAAAAAGTTAAATCGGAGAATTTCTTCGAGAAAATTTCTGATACACACATGCTAAATTATATTTAAAAAATACGAAAAAAATTAAATAAAAAAAGAGCAGCATACATGATTATTTTTGTATTTGAATGAATATTTTCTTGAATGCAAAACCTGAGAAATAATTTTTTTGCACCATGGTATGTTAAATTTCACAGAAACGAAGAAATTAGGTTTTTATTAACGAGAAAAGTATTTTAAACCCATATAGATTTTTTACGAGAATTGTCCGCAAAAAAATGACAACTAATATATTTTAATTCGCGAGTCACAAAAAAGGCTTCGCGGGGCCCCCGGGCCGCCAGTTGGAAACCACCGATTTAGTGGAAACCAATTTGGTTTAAATTAAATTAAAAAGAATCAATGTGCTAAATTAACCAATCAAATGCTTCTTTCTTTAATTACTTTATAAATTGAATAACAAAAGAAGTCAAGGTTTACATGAAATGTCTATTTATACACATATACCCCACGTCTTTCTACTAGCTTTCAATTCGTTTACAATCGTTCTAACCAAGTATTTCTTAGGTCTTCTTCTTTTTCTATTGCCCTGAGGGTTCCAATCAAAAGCTTGTTTTACTTTAAATTTTTCTGGTTTACGTAGAACTTGTCCTATCTATTTCCATTTACATTTTTTAATTTCCAGATCCATCGGTTTCTGTTTCGCTTTTTCAAAGATTTCTGCATTACAAATTTCATAGGACCACTTAAAACGCAAGATTCTTCTTTAAAAGTTGTTAATAAGTACTTGAGGTTTTTTCGTGTTATTTTTATTGAAGTGATTTTGCCTTTTTTTTTATTGAAGCACTTTGTTATTTTTACTGAAGTGCTTTTTAGATCCTTGCCTCGTCTGAGATCAGAATATGTCATTTAATTATTTAAGATCAATTTTCAAAATTTTAGTTTTATTTCGATTGATATTAAGACCCATTTTCCTTGCCTCTACGTTTGAAATGTTTGTTTGCGTGCTTTGAAGGGTGTTGGCTAGTAAACACAAGGATTACGCAAAATCAAGATCAGAAGGATATTCAGAAGAGTTCCATCTTACACCCCTTTTATTCTCTGCTACTCTCATCATAATCCAATCAGTAGCAATCAAAAAAATCGTTGGTGAAAGTATACAACCCTGTCCTAACACCGGAATCGATCTTGAAGTATTCTTATTGCTGGCTTGTATCCATAATGCTGTGTCAGTGTAATGTGCCAGTACTGGTAAGGTGTTTTAAGAACCAGTTTATTTTTAACACAAGCATAGTGAGGTACTACAGTTTGATACTGGAACATTAGTGAACTGCTCTGAATGGGAAAATAAAATCCACACTTTACTAGCGAAAGTTGTTAGATTGTGTTAAACTTTAAGTATGAGTTAACATATGATACGGAATACAGTTAATCTTTTTTTGAATGATGGGATGAACTACTCTATACGTTTTTTGCTTAATCTAATAATGGGTTATCAACAGGAAGGGCAACGCATATTAATAATTAAAGAAAAAAATTGGTATTATTTTAGCTTTGTTATATGTGTCGGTATTTGACTTTCAATTTTGTGTTCGATTTTGTGGTGGTGTTCAATGTTGATTTGATTCTTTTTCTTCCATCCCTTACGATGAACGGGTATTCAGATAGTCCATAATAATATATCATAATCTATGATAAAGCGTATAATTAAGTGAAATTAGGTTATACACGTTACAAAGATGCCTATTTTTCATTTTTACCATCAAAGTTTACTTTCTTGACATTAACAGTGTTGAAAGCTAAGATTCAACGTTTATTTTGTTTTCTTTCCCTATAGTAGTTGTTGTTCATTTACGTCGTACAATAGCTGCACAATGAGCTATTGGCGACAGTCTGGGAAGCATCCGTGAGGATGATCCGAATACGTGCCATCACAATTTTGATCCTCTGCAGAGGGAACGGCAACCCCGCTTCGGTAGCCCGACGACCTGCACGCAAAGTCGAGCATTTTACGGTATAACAGTTTAACAGTTTACCGCAAACCCTTGGTCCCTACGCAGACTAATCCAAGTGGTTACACTGACCGCAGCCGGTGATGCTTGACTTCGGTGATCTGCTGGGAACCGTGTCTTAACGATCAGTCCACTGCGGGATCTTTTCCTATAGTGACTGACAGTAAGATATTGTAACATGCAGTAAGACTATGCAATAAGTAAATAAACAAAAAATAAATTAACAAACAAAAATAAATAAAAAATATGATTCTGAATAATATTTTGCTGATGAACTATTTAGTTTGGGCGTAGTTCAAAATCGCGCTTTAGAATCATGTTTTTTTTTTTAGTTCGTCTTGCACATTTGAAAAAACAGACACAGCTCAAATTAAGTCCCCATATTTTCTTATCTCTTTTGTCATGAAAGCAGCAAGAAAATTAGATAAAACCGAGAAAATGAGATAAACAGCGAGAGTCAATGAATTCTTGGAAGGCTAGATTTACAGCATTCTTGTTTTTCTATTGAAATGCTGTCCAAATTTAGAAAGAAGTGGTTTTCAGAGGGGGATAGATCTGGAGAGTAGTGAGGTTGTTGAAGAAATATTTTTGCCAGTCATTAATGAAGTCAGCAGTGATTTGTTTGCAATGCCATGCGGTAAGAAAGGACCTATCTATTGACCTATATAGGGTATTTTTCTTTAAGTTTTTGCATCCTTTTGTTTAGATAATTGCAGCATCCCTAGCAGCAATTTCACCTTGGCCCCAGTTGGGCTTGAAATTATCTCAATGTGGGTCCTACATGAACATGCACCGAGAAACCAATATAGGGATGTCTACATTTTTTAATATTGATCCTATATAGGGGCAATCTCGGCCTTTATGAAGTCAATATAGAGAGTTTATGGGCAGATTAATGAATATTAAATATCGGGTGAATCTGATAATTCTATATAGGGCCGATATTGGTTGTAAAGTGGCGGTAAAATATCGGGTTAATCTAACAATTCTATCTAGGGCTAATATCGTAAAAATTACGGCTCTTCAAACCCTTTTTGAGCCAAGATTCGTGAATATTGGTCAAATGAGGGACCAATTTATTTTGCTACTAGGGATGTTTCTATTGAGACCTATATGAGCCAGGTTTTATACAATCACAATGGATCATACTATCATAATGGCATGTAAGAACACCAAACATTCACAACTAACATTTTTTGTTGAATATTATGCTTTGGAGTGAGTTTTGATGATTCGGTCTTCAACCAGTACTAAATCCAACTAACACTGAAGTCAAGTACATGTTATTAACATATTATTAACGTTCCACTTGATCTGCGAATGCTGTAGTTTCAAGTAAATAAATCGTAATTCATAATCGTGCGAATTGCTGACCATCTATACCCTTTTCAATGAATTATTTTGAAAGATAAACTATTTTATTATTTTTTAGGGTTTACGATAGTTTCTTTAACCAGTTGAGATACATAACTTTACTATAAAAGAAAAAAAAGTCGTTTGATTACTAAAAATGTTTTGTTAGTAAAAAAACTATTGCTTGCAGTGTTTTTGTAACACACATAGAATAAGTTTCACCAAAAAAATTAAAGGTGTTTCGTTAGTAAATAAAGCTATTGCTTTCAAAAGAAAGAATCTCTGCTGTGTTTTTGTGACGCATATAGAACAAGTTTCACCAAGGGGTGCTTTGTTAGTAAAAAAAGCTATTCCTTGCAAAAGAACAAATTTAAATATTCAACTTGAAAATCTTTCCCTAGCATTATTCAACAATATTTACGTTAGTTACCGTTTAAAACGATAGAAATCCTAATTTCACATGCATTATTTATTTTAAAGTCACTTGCATACCTCCAATTTATTCCTCTAAATAATAATAAAAGCAATAACTAATAACAATAATAAAACAAGGGGAAAATGAAACTTTTTTTCTGTGTAAGTCGGGGAATTCTGTGTCCTTATGTCGCACGCATAACAATTACATGTCTTGGGCATATTGAGCAGTGTAAATTTCGCGTACTAGAGGTTGATCAGTAAAAGCATTAAAGTCAAACAAGAAGTTTCTCGTGAAAACAGTAGAAAAGAAAGATGTTATTCAATGATTATTATTCCTTTATTTATTTATAATTAAAATATGTGTGCAATGAGCATAAATAGTATGATGTGTTTCTTGCGAAATTAAAAGAAATCCCATTTTAAAACTATGTAAACTAGGCATTTTTTAATCATATGTTTGATTATAATCTCATTAATTTTTGTATTTCACATTAAGTAAGATTAAACATCTACTTAAGAATGTTTGACAATACTGAAACATGACAATTCACAAATTAGAGAATATAAACTAATGTTTCAATTTAAAAAAAATCTGATGAATCATTTTTTAAATCTATCAAGTAAACAAAATTATTAAATAAAATTTAGTTATGTTGTCGGATAGTGTTATAATTTGATAACTTCCCAATTCTTTTTTATTATGATCTTTTTTTTTTTGCAATTTTTTTCTTAAGCATTCATTTGTCTTACAGCTGCAACATCTTTCATAAATGAAGTGAAATGCTACTTAGCTGACTTGAATTACTTCTTTTTTGGTAGCAAAAATGAAAATATAAAGTACTTGTTCTATTCTCGGACAAATCCGTTGGATCCATGTGACCTGCAACCTACTACAGATGCTCTAGACACTTGCAAATTCAATTCATCTTTAGATACTAAAGTTCTGTTGCATGGATGGATAGCTGGTCTACCACCCGCAAGCTTCTTATTCGTAAGTTGATATTTTTTGGAAGTTATTTACTAAGAAGGGGGGGGGGAGATACAATCGATTAATGGATATTTTTAAATTATAACCGTCGTTGAACAGCCGATCCAATTATATGGGTTTACGACTACCAATGTTCAACCTCGTAGCCTTGTAATTTTGAACCAATCCAGGAGACAAGGGAACTCCTGGATCGAATATTGAGAGAAATTTGCCTTCGTGGAGGACTTCTTGAGGGAGCTAACCTGCATTCGCGTTACATGGAGAGGAAGACCACGTGAGCCTCCCACGGTTAGCCTGGCAGCAAGGGAACTCTAACCCGTGACCCGTCTACTGAGGATATTTCACGTCAGCACTGTGGTAGGTGCAAGCCGGATGCGGAATTCATATCGACTGGGATTCGAACCCGGTTCGCCTCATTGGAAGGCGAATGCTCTATCCCCTGAGCCATCGCGGTTCATTGACTCTTGCGGTTAAAATGCGTCGTAAGACTTCTTTATTACTACTTCCCACTGATTTTTACGCCTAAGCTTGAAAAAGTGCGCCATCTACTATTATACTTGTAGTATTTTCAATATAACTCGTTCTTTCAATTTTACTTTTAAAGAACCAAACAACAAATAAATTCGGAAGACTCCGCAAGCTGGTTGTAACTGTACCCAAGAAATAATAGCTGGCATAGCCAAATAAGGGATAACATTCAAAATATGGCAACCTTACACTTTTTTGATTTTGTGGTATTAATTCTCTTAAAAGCTTGTAATTATTTAAGTTCAGTAAACCAGCTATAGATTTAAAAAAAATGAATCCTTGTTTTAAAACATTTAAAGCAATTGTTCAGTTATACATGTTTTGCGAAAAATACAAAAGTACATAACTTAAGGCATTATAACAACTTAGCATACTATCCAAGTTCTTGGACGAAGATTGATTGAAATTGATGGAAACTTGTTGTGCTTTGAGCTTGGATCGTGTAAACAATCATCCAAGTACTTGATCCAAGTCCTTGGACGATAGTAGAGTATGTTCTACTTTCCGTCCAAGTTTTTTCTCCCTTAACCAATCAGCTTCTTAAGTTTAGTGACGTCAACAAGTAGGCGTCAGGTTATGTCATTTTGTTGTCTGTTTTCATACATTTTAGTCCAAATAAATTAATCTGTCATGGTCTATTTGTGTTATTATGATTTTGTTTGAATTTATTTAGTAAAGTTACTTGCGTGGGAATTATGTAAGTATGATTTTATAATACTGAATTCGAACAATGCGCATGCGCAAGTTTCTCTTCCGACCAATCAGTGACATTCAAGAACTTGGATAGTGTCTATGAATCATCCAATTTCTTGGAAAGAAAAATTCGTCCTATTTCTCGGATTCAAGAACTTGGACTGTGTAAACAGGCTTTATTGGAAAGAAAATAAAAACTAAGTAAATAAACAAACTTCATTTCCGCCTGTGTTCGAATACACTTTATCTTATTGTTATTGTTTATTTTCTAACAGCCAATGAAAGATGATATTCTCGATGTGGGTAATTTCAACGTGATAATTGTTAATTGGACTTCTTACACTGGAAATACAGACAACGGTCTTATGGGATACAGTGAATCAGCCATCTATAGTATGTATGTCGGTCGGAAGGTGTCTGCGTGGGTAGCTTTCCTCCAGGTATGCTAATACTGCGTTTTACACTTTGTGGTTAAGATTCTTATTAAATAAAAACATTATTAAATAAGTCTTGTTACCATTTCTGCGAAAATCAAGAGATTCGACAGTTATGAAACTATAGAACACCTTGGCTGAATTGTCAAAACGAAGTTAAACTTCAAACCTCGTTTAAACTGCGAAGTAAGGCAAAGGTGAAAGAATTTAAAAGAAAACCCCGATTCTAAACATCTAGTTCAGCCTCTGGTCTATGTTAAACATGTGCTCTTGAGGAGGTTTAAATCAGAGAGACCAGTTTTAACACATTCACGCCGGGTGTTGCGCATGAAAGCGGGACGGAAAAGAGAAAATACTGGTAGAAGAACTATTTCAATATTAGGTTATATTCAGGAGGAGTTAATTCATTCTCAACAATAACAATTCACTGTAAGGAAATTTATCACGGCGAAGTAGCAATTCAATATAAAAATTGCATCCGTTAAAAACAATTGGTAGTTATGGGTTTTTATTATTCCCAGAAAAAAACTAAGAAATGAAATTTATTTGTTACCAGTTTTTACTCCGGTGCGCCACCCGATGAGACAATCTAGCGTGACCCACCGGTGGGTCACCCCGGCGTGAACGTGCTAAACCTCGATTCTTCTGTTGGGAATCGCAGCACATCCTCATCTCGGATTCGTGGACGTTTAGTTCATTTATTTTCTGCATTGTTTTGCAAGCTTTAAATAAATTATAAATATTCAATATATTCTTTCATAATAAATAAATCAATATGCTCGTAATAAATCAATATACTCGTGTATAAATATTCGTTCAAATTAATTAGAAAACATAATTGTTTTGAGTAGTGAATATAGCTTTTACCTTTCCTTCTGAATCTGCAACAGTGTTACCGAAATCTTATGAAAGAAGCCATCTTTTGGATCTCCAAAATTTGTTCTGAATTGGCAGCATACTATTTAATAATTATTGTCTTCTTGAAAAGAAACATCGAGATAATTAAATATCTCACTTGCTGAATGGGGCTATCTTCTTGAGTGGCTGTGAAAATATTGTATTCAACTATTCGAGAGTTGGACCTTTTCGGAACGTTCAAGAAAATGCAAGGGATTTAAAATTACAAATTTAAGGATTAAATAAAGTAAGATTAATTTTATTAAGAATCACGAATGTTTGGTTAGATCAATTACTGATCTTAACATAGGGCTATTGTTAATAAAAGGTATTGGATTCTTTACATGTTGACAATAAATACTACTATTTACTTTATCTGATAGTTTTAAGCATTGATTATATTTTTTAATGAAGGTAAGTTTCCTTTATTTAAAAAATTTCATTTCTAAGTTCTCATTCTTAAATCAAACTAATTTAAAGCCATTTACATATTCCTGCATCGATAAACTGGATTGTTTTTAGCTAAAATGTTATTTTTAAAACCATCATAAATTGAAAATAAATTTGTTGAAAACAGAACAGTGTCCAATAAGTTCTTAAACAGTATTTATACCGTAACGTACGTATAAATCAAAATTTAGGTCACCAATAATTTATACAAATTTCTCTGGAGTGTTTGAAATTTCCGCAAAATGATGTAATTTTGAAGAAACAAAAGCGCATCTAATATCACGTATCATGAAAAAGAGAATCAAATGAAATTCACCCATGGCATAGGGGAGCAACACGTTCTAGAAGAGAGAAGTCCTCCACACGGGTTACCATAAATGAGAAATCCGATCCTTTAGTAGTCCGAACGGGGTGACATCTTTCTTACTGACCTCCTATTGCCCAATTTAGTAGCCTGAACGTAATGACGTCTTTTTTATTACCCCCCACTGCGCTATTTATGTTCATTACCTTGGACTACTTAATTGATCAGTGCGGAGGACTTCTCACTTCAAGGAGGTGTTGAGCATTTTTCTTTTCAAGCAAAAATACTTTCGTTTAAGTATAATATAACCCCACAAAATTATCGATTGTGATCAGTACTAATTCGATATATCACACGATAAAATAATCGATGTATAGATTTCCAAACGCATCTTCTTTAATAATTTGACATGATTTAAAGTAGAGAAAACTTTCTTTGGTTTTCATTAAAAGGAGACTTCAATTTGTGTCCATAAAAAAGAGGTTTTGGAGATGCTATTCCATGAAATTATTTTTCTAAATTGGTCAGAAATTACTTCTTTTGCAAATAAAACTGTACCTGAAATTTATTAAATCACATTAAAAACAATTTAATAGCTAAGTATTGCGTTTTTCAAGAATATTTTGCTGCTGAAAGCATGAGGTATCTTTAAATTTCGTTTAATATAGAGTCAGAAGTTGCATCTTTTGCAGCTATAACTATCAACACTTTACAGCTCATTTAACAACAAATTAACGTAGCTAATTGTTGTATTTTTCAGAATTATGAGGATGCCTATATAATGAAATTCTACTTAATTCTTTTCAGTGTGGGTTCCGAAGTTATTTTCTGCTTTTAAAACTATCTGCATCTTAAATAACATTTAAAAAAAATAATAATAATAGCAAACTTTTGCTTTATCAGAAATATTCAGAAGTTGATCCCATGACCCATTCTAAGCGCTAATGAATTAAATCGAAAAGAAATTCATATTGCTAAACGTTGCGTTTTTCAGAAATATGTAGAAATTGAAATTCTATGTACAAATTAATTACAATGAAGTGAAATTCATCCAGCTAAACGTTGCGTTTTTCAGAAATATGCAGAAGTTGATCCCATGAAATTCTTTGTGCAAATTAATTACATAGAAGAGAAATTCATATAGCTAAACGTTTCATTTTTCAGAAATATGTAGAAGTTGAAATTCTATGTACAAATTAATTACAATGAAGTGAAATTCATATAGCTAAACGTTGCGTTTTTCAGAGATATGCAGGAGCCGATCCCAAGAAATTCCATTTCATTCCTTTTAGCATGGGATCAGAGGTAACTTCTTTTGCGGCTAAAACAATGTGCAATTTAAATCACATTACTTGTAAGTATTGTTTTGTATTTCAATATTTCCTTTTATATCCTAAAAGTGCTTTTTAGCAAAATTGTCTTGCAAAGCGTTACGGTTTCCTTTAACTCTAACACTATATAAGCTTCACAACATCATACCGCAAGCGCTTAAATTTATTTATGAATTCCAGCGATGCTAAAAAAAAGCTAGCGTCACTGTTACGGTAAGACAAACGCTTTGTAAAATTCTCTAATACATAAATAAACTTTAAGATTAAAAGGATAACCCGAAGCTAGTGAAAATAAATAAAGAAAAAAAAAGAGAAAATATTATTAAAAAACCAATGAATCATTATCAAACTGAGACTGATTTGCTACAAGTCTTAATTCTTGTGGTTCTAAATCATTAGATTGAACGGAAAGTTAGATCATTCAGTGGAAAAATTATTGGTGTTAAAAGTCCTGCTTTGTGGGATTTGTTATGAGAATTTGACCGGTTCTGAATCGATTCTCGATGACAATAGTAGCAGCAAACTTCGCGTTGCTCTTGTATCATTCAAAAGTTTTTTACTAAATTTATTAAAATGTTCCTTTTTGCTTTAAATTTGCTTGTTTTTGCTACATTACCTTAATTTTGAAAATAATTTTTAATCGAAAAAAAATATGTTCAGATCCATAGCGGTCCTCCAAAAGTTTAAAATTCCCTTAATTAATTGCTAATTGAAGTAAACATTACGTATAGTTTTCTTTTTAAAGAAAGAAATCTGATAGTGCTGAAAGTAACTCTAAAAGATATGTTTTATTTGCAGTTCTTGATCCGGCTGCACCACTTTTTAGGTTTCTTCCATCATTTTTAGGGCCATCTTACATGGATGCTGATTTTGTCGAAGCAATGCACACTGATGCAGCATCAAACGGGCTTCAAGGTTAACACAAATTATTGTATTCTTAATCACATTATAATAATCATATTGCATTCTTTATGCCCTCTTTATGCTCATTATCTCACTCGTTTTATTCTCATTTCGTAGTAAATTTTATTCACAATATTATATATGTATTTTTTTTAAGGAATAGTAATTTATCTTTCTTACAAAAAGTATAGTTTATGCGGCAAAATTTATAATACTTGTTATTAAAGAGGCTTCCAAAAAATTAGGTATAACTCGTTTTTTTTTATTTTTTTTATTTTTGAGTTAGCTTTTAATTTTAAAACAAGAAATTCGGAGGAAGTGATCACAATTTTTTTTTATTAATATTCAATGAGATATGTAGAAGTTTATAAAAATTGAAACACATAACATAATTTGTAACAAAAAAGCGATTCTCCTGGTAGAAAGATCCATTTGCAAAGAAAATAGTACATCACAGTTTTTTTACAAAAAATTATCATAGAAAACGGCTTCTATTCTTCTAGTGGCAAAAATGGATTTTATTAAAAAACGCGTCCACCCTTCATTGCAATGCTCTAGTGCTAACTATTTACTATTCTGCCAATTAAACTGTGAACCCCAGAAACGGATTAACATTAATTCTAGCTCACGTAACTGTAGAGGACTCAAAGCAGGAAGTCTGACAAGGTAGTACCAAATTTTTTTTATTGGATATATGTCAGAAGGTAGGGCTGATGATAATTTTATTTTCTCCAAACCATGAGCCTCAAGACAGTATTAAAAAAGTACAGCACTATGAGCATTATAATGTATCATAATGAAGTCATAGCAGCGTGTTGTAATTACATGTAATTAAATATAAACCCTTGTAAAGGATCAAATACAACTTTATTAAATACACATAAGGGCGACCTTTGTGCTGAAATACAAAGTAAGGTAAAACAACGTTTAAGAGCACAAAAAATATATAAAATGCAGACAGCTGTTTCGGATGCTCAAAGGGCAACCTTCATCAGTGCAACAGTTGCACTGATGAAGATCACTGTTGCACTGATGAAGGTTGCCCTTTGAGCATCCGAAACAGCTGTCTGCATTTTATATATTTTTTGCGCTCTTAAACGTTGTTTTACCTTACTTTACAACTTTATTGTTACTTAAATAAGATAACAGCGTGCGTACATGCATGGCTGCATGCCTCCAGGAACAACAACAACCCCGAGCACGGTTACAGTCCTGCGGTCATAGTGGAAGTTGAAGTTCCAGGATATGACACAGCGTTATATGAGGGACATGTTCATCCAGGAAATCAAGCCAGGCAGAAATCCTCTATGAAGCACGTAAGAGATAAAAAAATTTTAGTGAACACCAAGTGAGATCACTGCGAAAACCATAATTCCAACACTTTTGTAACTATGTAACGAGAATGTTAGATTGGCTGTATCGTGTTCCATTCAGATCAGCAGTTCCCTGAATCGTTCTTCAGCGTGAACCTAGACTTGTCTGTGTAACATTCAAAGTCCATTGCTGTCTGATTCAAAAAACGTGTACTTTTGCCCGTGTCATTGTTCTTTCTAGGTAGCGCACTCATCTTGTCGTCTTTCGTGAAATCTTTAATAGTGTCCACACTTAAGTAGTTGCGGATACCACAGGTGAAACTGTCGAAGATGTTGCATCGAATCACGCAATGTTCTTAGAACAATAAGTAAAATCTGGAGCTCTTCAGCGAAATTACTTATCTTCAGTTCAACTAGAGTGACTAGTTCAACTAGTGTTCAGTTGGAACAACTCATCCTCAATTCAACAGTTAAAGCTGTCCTACTTTACGGGTGCGAAACTTGGAAACTTACTAAATCTCAAAAGAAACTTCTTAAACACCTTCCAAACTAAAGCTCCAAGCTCCATGTAGGATTTTCAAAATCTTTTGGTCTTACGTAATTTCAAATGATCAACTATACCGAAGGTTCAACACAAGACGCATTACTGAGGAAATCAAACATCGAAAATCGACATGAATGGGACGCATTCTGCGATTGATCTTCCTCGTGTAGCTCTCACCTGGTCACCGGAGGGACGAAGGACGCCTGGATGACAGAAACTAACAAGGCGAGGAAGGATAGAGGGTGTCTAGCTGGAACTTGGTTAGGGAGGCTGCCTTGCTAAGGAGGATTAAAAGAATATTTATGATGATCATGATGAGTAGCTGCGGTGATTTTTGTTCCTTGTGCTACAAAATGTCCTTGTCTTTAGATCGATGGAGTTAGAAAACGGTCTTTCACAGTTGTAATTCGAGATCATCAGTCAAGAACCTGTTTTCACTACAAGGAATCGGGAGATGAAGCTGATCCTACAGTAGTTAAACCATATTGTGAGACGTTTAGCAGCGTATCATTCAACCGATGGCAAAAAAAAAGGAATCCAGTAGAGGACTTCTCCTAAACATTGTTACAGACATCTCTGAATACTTTCACAAAATAAGCAACAAAAATTTATAATCAACAACAAAAATTAAATTGAAAGTTAGATTTTTCCTGAGTTTCCTCCACGCAGATGCAAAAGTGTCTATTCCTTTAAAATAAAATATCATTTTTGCTAAGTTTTCTATCAACCACATAATTCGCGGTATTTATTATTACTGCCATTTTTTTTTTTTAATTATGAGCTTCAAAAAACCCGTTTGTAACTTAACTCGTGAAGGGCAGTGTATTGGAGCTTTTAAAAATAGCAGTATTTTATATACGCCGCTTTAGAGTTTTGCAATTAGCTACGGTCGTCGGGGAAACATCCCTTAGGATGATCCGTAGACATGTCATTACAGTTTTCATTCTCTGCAAAGGGGATTAATCCCCCATTTTGGTAGCCCGATGACCTGCTCGAGAAATCGAGATCTATACTGTCAAACAGTTTAACGAGACTCAATACCTTGATCCCTCGGTCTTCTTACAGTCTGGTCTATGTGGTCACCCACATGCTTACCGCTTACTGATCTTTGCTAGTGATGCTTTACTCTGGTGATCTACTGTGTCTTAAGTCCACTGTGGAAAATTTAAGAAATAGAGTTATTTGTGTTATAGCTAAATATAGAACTTTGTGTATGAGTTAAAAACAAAAAAAGTTGCCGTGCAATATACCATGCGTTGTAAACATTATGCAATCGAAAAGTTTGAACCCTTTAATGTTAATTTTACTTTTTACATACTTCAACATATCCTGAGAATCATTTAAGATAATTAAAAAAATAAATTCCTCTATTGTATTTATTGTTTGTCCATAGATATTTTCTTGTAATATATTTTGAAAATTAGTTATTTTTATTATTCATGTTGAAATTGCGCTAAAACGTTTTGAATTATAAGATGTATGCTTTTTACAAGATTTTAAACTATCACCGGTGAGTTTTTGTTCCTGGACACAGCATTCCAGGACACAGTTTTTTTTCCTGGACACTACATTCCAGGACACAGTTTTTGTTCCTGGACACAGCAGTCCAGGACACAGTTTTTGTTCCTGGACACAGCGTTCCAGGACACAGTTTTTGTTCCTGGACACAGCGAAATGTGCACTTACGAAAATGGTCGCAGCAGAAAATGTGCCTTTTCAGTTATCAATCTAAATTTAACAACAAAACGAGGAATTACTTGCTTGTTGAAATACAAAGTATAAACATTATAGGGTAAACTCCCGTTGCTTAGGGGTTTCTAGGTTTATTACCTATGTAACTTCTCTGGTGATGTCTTCGCATTCAGAACTCTAAACTATAGAGCAAGTTTTAAAACTCTAAATTCCTATAACTTATTTTAAATTTATAACAGGACGAGTGGTAACCTTACAAAAACAATTGTTGACTTTTAAAGTCTACTCAATAGAAGACTAATTTAATAAAACGTAACAAGTGACTGCATATGGACGATACTACATTGCGTTCATTAGTTAATTCCTTTTACTTTCTTAAAGGAAAAAGAAAGAGCAATGCCTACAAAAGTTTGAAAAACAAAATCAAATGCTATGTCCGTTTTCATAAACACTCTCCATTTTGCGGTCTGCTGTGCAGTGTGCCAAAAAAGCGGGCCACCCTGAATAACTTTTAATTTGATGATCGGGTCTTTACGTTATGCTAATAATACAAATACAGTGCAGACGATATTTAAAGTTACGAAATCAAACGCGAAAACTTACTTTCTCTGAATGAACATACCTTTTTTTCGACCGATTTGGATTTCTGATCCCCAAAATATAGGGGGTAACCGGAATGTGGAAAATATGGTCCCAATAGTTTGTTCAGGAGAGAGATCCGAAGTTTTAACCCCTTAATGTTAAATTTTACTTTTTGCGTATTTCACCGTATCTGGAGAACTTTTCCAAGCGAATTGAAAAATTTTCGCACACAATTATAAAATTCGTTTTTCAAGAATAATTCCATGTAAAAAGTAAGTTTTAGTAAATATTTATTATTTTTTATTATTTTATTTAATAATAGTGGAAAAACTTTTAACTTTAAAGTTTACAAATTTTCACGCCATTTTAAAGTATGTAAGTTTACATGGCAAAATACAAAACATGGGCGAAATTAGATTAATAGTTCCTGAGAAATCGAATTTTAAATATTCGACTTCCATATAATTTGATTTTTCAGGAACTATTTAACCGATTTCGTTAAATTTTGCATTTTGTTACGTAAAATCAAATACTTAAAAATGGCGTAAGAACTTTTATACCTAACAATTTAAACTTTTTTCGACTATTATTAAACAAAACAATTAAAAATTATATATATTTTTTGAAATTTATTTTTGAATAGAATTATCTTTTGAAAAACGAATTTAATAATTGTTAGCAAAATTTTTTTCAATGCGCTTAAAAAGTTCTCGAGATTTGGCAAAATACGCAAAAAGTAAAATTATCATAAAGGGGTCCTAACTATTGATCGCTCTCATCACCTAACCATGAGACCATATTTCCCAGATTGCAGCCCCATATATTTTGGGAGTCAGAAGTCAGAGTAACCCCTATATTTTGGGAGTCAGAAGTCCGAATCCGTTAAAGAAAGGTATGTTTATTCAACGAAAGTATGTTATTGTGTCCGATTTCATAACTTAAAATTTCGTCTTCACTAATTAAATAGTATATTCGAGGTCATCCCCTCGAGCTATTAAGTTTAAGTCCTAAAACACGGAAATCCGATTAGATCAAAAGTTATTCAGGTTGGTCGATTTTTTTACTGTACATAGAATTTCGTCCACTTGACCAAAATTTAAATAGGATTTAACTCATCCTGTTTACTCATCCTGTAGTTTACTTTCAAGAGCATAAAGAAATAATTATATATTTCTCTGCTTAGGATTAAATTCAAAATACATTTCTTTGTGCAGGATATGGTTTTATACGACCTGTTGCTGGTATAGATTATTACCCTAATGGGGGAAATTTACAACCGAAATGCCAAGAGAACGCTACATTTTATTATGGAGATGGATCGACTGGCAAAGGTACTCCATTAATTTTTCTTTGGTGACATCATATTAAAAAATGCTCTATAAAATTTTCAAAAAGTAGACAAAGAAAGATACATATTAAGAATTTAAATATTTAAGTGAGGAAAAATCAAAACACTATCAAAGAATATACGCATAGGAGAAGGAGGCTAGCTTCCGTAGGCATAATATAAACCATTTCCCAAAGGTTTGGTGCCGATCCTGTGTATAAAGAAGAAACATTTATTATTTTTAATTATATAATTAGTTATGACTTTTATACCCAGATGGCGCCATCAGTATCAACACCTATCGTTCAAAAAAATAATAATTATTTTAATTACTAGATGGAGCTACGAGTATCGAATCACAGGTGACGCACCTCCTAACAGGCACTTTGCTTCTTATGGGCATGTGCTAGATCATAGTGCATATAATACTCTATTAAATCACCCTGTAAGTTGTTTTTCTAGTATAGCATACCGAACCAAGTAGTTCCATGCATTAGTTACGTATTCTAAGAGTCGGGATTTAAAGACTCTTTGATTGCCGTTGGAAGCAGAGAAAAGTGAAGGTAATTAACAGAAATACCTCACAGTTTCCCGAGGCAATCAAACTGGTTTTCCTGTTTTAAATCCTTATGATTTAAAAGTGTTTTTGTTTCTGACTCTCGTTTTTTTTTCTTGATATTTTTTTCACCTATATTGCGCCATCAGTATCAATATTAATTTTCCTCTTTGAATAAATTTTCCTAATTTTAATTTTCCTCTTTGATAGAGACATTTGACCAAAAAAAAGTAAATTCGAAATTTCCTGTCTCTTAGTAAATTAATCTAAATTCACGAAGAATTCAACGTTTTTTGATAACTGATTGATTGATAATAAGAAAGAAATTGATAAAAATTTCTTTGAAAAGAACCTTTTTTGGATGGAAATGGTATTACAAGTTATTTTTTCCTGAAGAATACAATATACTCACAAATAGCTGATGGACAAAAACAACATTCGATTTTGCTTATTACCATGCTGCTATCCAATGCACGGCAACATTTATATAAATGTTCAAATATAAAGATAGATATTACGGTTGGTGTTGCAAAGGCTTGAAAAAAAAACGGTGATAAATTAGGTTTTCTGGTATGAAATTTTGAAAATTTCCAATAACATAGGACTTTTAACTGGTTTTTAATATTGTATCCCAATTCTTTATTCGAATGCTTAAAATCCATATTCAACAACGCCATAGTTTTCACCGCATGGATTTTCCAAAAAATTTGTCAATTCATTGTTGTTGCACCAAACAAAGTACAACGCGTGATCTTTTCATTTTGTAACATAATAAAATTAACTGTTAACCGAGTTTGTAGTCAAAACGCTAATATTTGCTTCAACTTTTTTCATATCCAAACAATAAGCACTGGTTTTGAAGCCTGCTTGTTCCACGCACATACACAAGCAAGCAGAGCTCAGTACGTATCTAGAACCGGTTGAATCTCTTTCCTCGCTTGGAAGATCAATAAAAGTTGATGCAAACATTGACATAATAAACGAAACAGTTGGAAAGCCCCTTCAATCGCACGTTCTCCATTCAGCGGATAATCGAATCGTTTATATGAAAGATTTTGATAAGACCATTCACTTTATGACAACTTTATTTTTTTTAAAAAAATTTTCTTGCAGTGACTGACATGGGTACTTCAATTAGCTGCAAGCATAACTCCGCCTTTATCTACTACTTGGCTAGCTTCAACAAGAATTGCCAGTTCATAGGACTCATCTGCGAAAGTTATGATGACTACTTAAGTGGAAAATGTTCGGCAACAAATACAACTGTTTGCAAAATGGGTTACTATTCACGTAAAATTGAAAATCTGCCTCCCTATTCAAAATGTTACCTCCAAACCTCAGCTTATCCACCATATTGTCTTAACTGAAGAATGACCTGCTCTTGGTATTTCGAACCAAATGGACAAATATAACCGAGATGTTTCGAAATCATAGTTGCTTATGCTGAGTTATTCGAATAGACCAGCGGTTCCCATTTTTTTTCGGCTACGGAACCCTAAATAAACATGCTTCTTCCAGGGGAATCCCGACTTCACAATTCATGTAAATAAAGACAATTGTATGCGCATTAAAAGACAACTTATTTTGACTTTTAGACGTTTTTATGTTTGATAAGATGAGTGGAATTTATTTCATCTATTTATCATAAATAATATTAAGGTAGCGTTTTATGTTCGGTAGTTGAATTCCCAGTCTTGAAGATGAATTTAGTCTATAGTGCTGCTTTAAGGAGAGCTCCTCCAGACTGAAAGTCTGGGGCTGTCTGCTACTATGGTAACAAGCAAGAGCACATTTATAATGGGGGTGAAATGGAGGAAAAAAAGTGTCGATTGGTTTACTCACGACGACCTACGCTAAGATTAAGACAAAACTATTTACCCCAGTGACCTTTCCTCGTAACCATAGTACCCGCCACGACGCGAGACGGGTATCTGGAGGAGTTCTCCTGAAAGTCGCACTATTCGCAAAAATTTGTTTTTATGTAACTATAAAAAAATAATAATAATACTATAAATGAAAAGAAAATTCTTTGAAAATGATTATAAGAAAAACATATTTCTTTATTAAAGAACTCAGTTACTTTATTTTGATTTGAAAAGCGCATTGTGAAATGCTATAGTAATTTTTCATAAATATATTTTCGTAAAAAAAATTTATACTTTTTGTTTAAAAAAATTAAATTTTTTTTTTTAATTAATTTCTCTCTTAGGCATATTACTTTAAATATAATTTCATAAAGTCAATCAAAATCATAACTGAATTATGGATAATTGATTGGAACTAAATATAATTATAGATTTTAAAAAAGTTTTAAACAAAACTTTTTAAAAAAGTCTTAATTCTCGGAACCTCTTTAACTCTTCCACTGAGCCCTATGGTTTCACGGAACACCATTTGAGAACTGCTGGTATAAACGAATAAGGCATTTTTGCATCGTGAAATTCAACGTGAATAAAAGCAGAGTTATTCATGAAATAACTGCACTTATGAAAAACCTTGCAGTGGCCGCCACTGTAGAGTCGAAATTCATTTACAGTTGAAATCTTCTTAGATCCTAACGTGATCTCCGTTGGTCATCTGTCAAAATAACTTCAAAAAAGAGAAAAAAAGAGGTTTTCCATCTTCAATTTTCGCCTGACTTAAGTTTTCGATAATTCAAGACGGTATAACACTAGAAAGACTGAAACTTAGTATATACCTATATTGCCCAAAATGACTGAATTGTGTGAGAATAACTAACGTGTAAAGAAATTTGTTTAAAATTACTTTTTTTTATTTTTTTTTATATTATTTACAGTTATATAACTGGTTATTACTAAATATTAACAATAAAAAAAATTATATGCTGTACAAAAAGTCACAAAATTCTAAGAAATTTTATCATTATATGCATCATTGCTTTTTCTAATTGAAATTAAAAAGCAGTCAAAATGACTTCCTTGGGCAATCTAGTGTTAAAAATCGTTATGAAAGCTTCGACATTAACATTAAATGTATTTTTCTATATTCAAAATTTAAAAAAAAAAAAAGGTTTTTTAATAATTATAAAACATTTTTGTTGCGTGAATCAAATATCAAATCAAATCTATTAACAGATTAAAAAAACCTTTAACCTTAAACCTTTTTGTAACACGCTTTACAGGAAGACTGAAAGGGTGAAACTTATTTGAAGTTTTCTTTATTTTTCTGTTTTCTTCTATAAGTCTCATGCAAATTTACGTAGTAAAAATTGAAATTCTTTTCCTTTCTCTGTTATAGTTATTACATAGAAACTTAAGCAATTGAAGCTTAAATAAAATTTTCTTCATTCGTCTGTTTTGTAGATGCCTTATGGAAACATACACTGAAAACATTTTGGAGTCTGTTGAATTATAATATCGTACGAAACTTCGAGAACGTTAATATGGTTCTAAGCTAAATCTTATTATCAAGGTTCTTAAACTTGATTACAATACTTTTGTTTAATTTTGACACAACATTAGCGTTGAATAAATAATTTACAAAGCACCAAGATTATGTTCCCACGTTTGAGTAAGTAGAAACTTATTTGAAATTCTGATTTCTTTATTTTGTTGAAGTTTCATAGAAACTAAATTTCTTTTACTTTTGACTTGCGTTGAACATTCGACCCAATTCAAAGTTTACAACAATCATTTTATTTTAATTTTGTAACCGTCTCTTAACAGCCGACCCAAATTTGGGTTTACGACTACTAATGTTCAATTTCGAAGGCTTGTAATTTCGAACCCAATCCGGAAGACAAGGAAACTCCTGGATCAGTACCCTCAGAGGTATGATTTGTTATCGGAACATGGAGGACTATGTGACCCGAGAGATTTAACGTGCACCAGTCCCCATTTACTGCACGTTGAGTCTTCCGCCGCTGGGGAATCGAACCCACGATCTCTTGAATATGGACCCAGTGCCCTACTAACCAGGTTATCGCGGTCCTTACAACTATCATTGTTCAACTCAGTAGCCTTGTAATTTTCAACCTAATCTAGTAGAAAAGGGAACTCTAGATCAAACAATTAGCCTTCGCGGAGAATTTATTGCGGGAACTAACCCGCATTTGTGTTACATGGAGAGGAAAACCAGCAAAACCTCCCACTCCTAGCTCGACACAAAGGGGATTCTAATTCATTAAAAGTCCACCGCTAAAGATATTTTAAGTCAGCTTTTGGTCTGTGCGAGCCCGAATCAAACTTTGGATCAGCCAGTCACAGTCGGGATTCGAACCTGGCTCACCTCATTGGAAAGCGAACGCTCTATCCCCTGAGCCACTACGACATCCCATAAAAACCAATTGTGTAAAAGAAACAAAATTGCTTTATTATTATAAATTAAATAACTTTTTATTAGTTTATTTATGTTTTACAACGAAGCTTGATTCACGTACCTGGATTTGCATTTGATACATAATTTACACACAAAACGCATACCATGAATTCTATTTTCAACGATTTGCAAATTACGCATCACAGTACAAAAATATATAAAGGGATTTGTAATTTATATACGTGATTTTTTCAATTTACAAATGATTCACGCCCCATTTGATTCACTTATCTACGAATTCACTCGAATTCACGATCACAAATCATAGAAAATTTTATTTATTTAACATTATCTTGTAAAACAATAAAACACAATGCGATTTAAACATAAATTTGAAAAACCCGATGGATTTGGGAATTTTTCATAAAAACAGGATCTCATTTTCGAAAAAATATCAATAAGATTCTGAATTATAGATCCCAATTTACGCTAATTTTGAATTCACAAGATTATAAGAAAATAATATTTGCTTTTTATAATACTTATGATATGGCATATTGAATGTACGCTGATTCTCAAAATAATGGTGTGTAATTTGCATTTTTCTAATTTGATGCTATAGTCCAGTGGTGCGCAAACTAAGGGTCGCGACCCCTGTGGGGGTCGCCAGGAGTTCTTTGGGGGTCGCCAAATTTTTATGAAATGCATTATCCCTGCATGCTGCATACCATACAGTGTACATATAAAGAGTGAAGCGCCGTCACTCACTGTTTAATTGCAATTTCATGCTGTCCACTCTTTCTTTGACCGTAATGCGTAATATATTCTCTATCTGGCTATCCGTGGAAAAACAATATCCCGTTTTATGCAAGAATGCCATCAGAGTGTTAATACAATTTGCATCAACGTATTTCTGTGAAACTGGATTTAGCAAACTAGTTTCAGTAAAAACTTAATACCGCTCGTGTTTAAACCCTGAAGATGATACGCGAATTGCAATTAGCAACATACATCCAAACATCGATGAGATAATTAGAAACTTGCAGCCACATACATCTCATCATCTCATTAAAGGTCACTTTCTGATTTTTGTGTTATACAAAAAGTATTTTCTTAAAATTATAAATAAAATTAATATGAGTCAAATATGATGATATTTTTATTCGATGCAACGAAAGAAATGCGCGAAAAATACATCGTATTTGTGAACATTTATCTCTAGGGATCGCCAAAAATTTTCTCTCTACGAAAGGGGTCACAGTCGAAAAAAGTTTGCGCACCGCTGCTATAGTCAACTTCTTTTCTAATTCGAAGATAAGCAAAAAACCTTGAATAGAAAATTAAAGAAATTATGAAATATTCAGAATTCTGTGTTTCTTCTTTTGTTCTCAAACTCAAAACATTTTAATCTTAAGAACTTAAATGAAGCAAAACTTTTTCTTATAAAAAATATAAAATGTAAATATTATTTTTTACCCAAAATTGTGACTTTAGTTGCTATAATTAAGTTATTGATATTTTTTGTGAAAATATTTGATGCATACATTTAAAAATACTTTAGAGGACACAATACAAAAAAGTTTATGTAATATTTTTGAAATATTGTATGAAATATTTTTCCTATTTGAATCTCTTGAAAAAAAAATTAATATCACCCTTGCTTATTCAAGGCCATAGAAAATTTTCAGAATTGGATCATAGATGATAAATTCTAAATTCTATTCGGAAGAGGAACATATTATATTTTAGCTATTTCACTCTCATTAATATAAATTTCAAGAGATATTTACAACCAAAAAATGTGAATATGTTTCTGTAGTTTAAATATCCTCATTTGATTTTTGCCTTAAAAAATGGTTTTCTTGATTATTATTATTATTTATAATTCAACGACTTATTACCGTATTTCACAATACTAAATAATGAACTTCCCAAGAAGCTAAAAAATTTAATTCATTAATTGGAAATATTGCAAAAATAAATGACAGCTTCAAGATCACACAGACTGGGAGGTTCTTATAAATTAAAAGGTGGGTAAAATTAAGTATTCGGTCGGTTATTCAAATATATATATATGTNATATATATATTTACATATATATATATATATATATAATATATATACACCGAAGAGCTGTTATATTATGACCACCCTCCATCTATAACGATGGGCTCACCCAGGTTTTCATGGTTTCTCGTCCAAGAACAATGTTCTCATGGGACACATTAGGACCCATAATCCTCATAGAACAATTCCTAACGTCTGTAAGCTACTTGAACCTAGTTGCAGACCAAGTTCACCCATTCATGG